TAATATCCCATACTCAAAATATTCAACCATCACGAACAAGATGAAAGTGAATACAAATATTACGAGATTATCCAAAAGATGCCTGAAATAAATACAAGCTGGCCTCCAAGAACTTCGGCAAACTCACGGCAAAACCAACAAACATGCGACAAAGGATGAAACATGCCAAACACGCTGCTGTCGAACTACCAAAGGAGACAAAGAAAGAAGCAAAAGAAACAGTTTTCACGGCTTTCTCTCACGTCTACATTGCCCTCTTAGTGTAGTTTTTTAGGAGTTTTAGGAGGTGTGATTAGGAAAGATAAATGAGTGAAAAAGAAAAAAAAAATAAAAAAATAAAAAACTGACAATAATGATCAACCTAATCTATTGTAGATAATATCATGTTATATGAAATTGAGGATAATAATGATCAAATAAACTATTAAATTAGACTAAATAGTTTAATTAAGTCTTCAAATTAAAATAAGCTCCATTCAAAACCATTGAAACATGCAATTAAAAAAAAAATTACAATTTGGCCTATTAACAAGTTATCAACATCTTCAAAAACAAGTTATCAACATGTTCATAGTGAGTTAGTTGGCGCTTACTTAGGCACTGATTTGGGTTTCATGTCACTTTAATTGCTTACTTTGTATACTTTCATGCCACTTTTATTAATTATTTAGTATAATATTTTATTTTTCTTAAAACATATAAACAAAAAATTAGCTCAGTGGTCTAATGGTATCCGGGTTGGACTTTTATTTGGAAGGTTGTAAGTTCGAGCCTCAGTGGAGGCGTTATTGGCTCTTTGTGTTTCAGTAGGTTGAGAAAGTATATGAACAGATACTACAATGTAATAGAGCTAGTAGCATTCAAAAAAAATATAAACAAAAAATTAAATATCTTTAAAATAATTTTTTAAAAAAAAAAAAAACAAAAAAAACAAAAACTAGACGATGCCCATCGTGCCCGCCATGGCGCCATCCAGATTAATTTTCTAGAAGATGGGCATCATTCGAATATTGTTTTTTAAATGTATATTTAAAATTTTTAGTTGTATTTTTTAAAGAAAAATAAATTATTACACTAAATAAGCAATCAAAAAAGATATGAAATCCAAATTAGTGTTAAAGTAAGCGTTAACCTTAAAAGGACGTTTGGTTGGAAAGAAGGAATTATGAGGGAAAAAGGAATTATAATTCAGTGAGAAAAGAATAAGGTGAGAATAAAGTAGGAATTTTAATTACGCTGTTTGATAAGGAGAAATAGAATTATTGGAATTGATAAGGAAAAAAGTGGTATAAAGACTAAAATACTCTTGTGTAATAATAATAGTAATAACAACCAAGGGTAGTAGTGTCATTTCATCTATTTTTCCTTTCTCAAATTCATTGAATTGCAATTCATTCTTCCAAAAGGTTGAACCTCAAGACTAAAATCCTCTTGTGTAATAATAATAGTAATAACAACCAAGGGTAGTAGTGTCATTTCATCTATTTTTCCTTTCTCAAATTCATTGAATTGCAATTCATTCTTCCAAAAGGTTGAACCCTAACCCTACAGAGCATTTGGGAAGATGTAAATCATGGTAACCCAACTGAACATGAACCACAAAAGCTAGACATTTGCTCTTGCGCACAAGGAACCCCCCTCACTTTGAGAGCTAGACATTTGCTCACTACGCTCAAGAAACCCCCCTCACTTTGAGAGGTAGCTCCCACACTGCCCCTGGTGAGACTCAATCACTGGTCATTCTTCCAAAGTTTCACCTCTATGACCAGTAGAGCTGCCATGCGGGTCATTGAATTGCAATTCAACAAAAGGAAGGAATTGCAATTCCGTGGAATTGTAATTCCCTCTAACTAAACAACGTAATTGAGGAATCCATTGAATTCCAATTCAACTACAACTAAATTACAGTGAATTAAACGCCCTGTAAGTTGTTGATAATCTATTAATATGTCTAATTGTACTTTTTTTTTTTTGCAAGTTTTAAGGAATTTAATAGAATCTTCTTCTTCTTCTTTAATTTTTTAATTTTTTTTTTAATTTGACGATTTACTTGCATTATTTAATTACATATCAAACAAAATTTTATTTTTCTTTTTTATAAAAAATATTACAAAAAATATTTTGCTGTTAATGTACTTATATTTGATGAACTTGTATTTTATCTAGTTGACTTTATATCATTATAAAAAGGACATGATGTAATAATTTTATAAAGGCGAGAAAGTACCATTTAATTAGTTTCTCGATTATCCCTTACTAATTATTTTAATCTCTCACTTTTTAGTGTTGCAATATACACTATATCTTTTCAAATAAATTGCAACTTTAGTTCTTTGAGAACATGGTGTTTGCAATATATATATATATATATATACATATATATATATATATATATATATATATATATATATATATATATATATGTATGTATGTATGTATGTATGTATGTATGCTGGTTTAAATAAGAGCATGATTCTTTTGTAAAAAGTGATGACGGATCATAATCGCGCATCATGATTCTTCAATGGTTTAGATTTTTAGTAAAAAAAAAAAAAAAACCGCAGTTAAAATTATTATAAACTTTCAAATTAGCAATATTTATAAACGGGCTCACACACCTTATTTTTCAATAACCTTTAACCGATGTCTACCCAAATAGATGAATCATATTAGTCATCACTTTTGGTATTTTATATGCAGCAAAAAAAAAAAAAAATGGCACCGTCCTTCCCTAATTTTTTCCAATCTGATTGCGGTACACATCATATCATTTATGTTTTCTCTCTACTCGAACTCGTTAAAATCATATCACATATGTTGCATATGAAATACCAAAACTGAAGAGGATCATAAAGATGAAACATAAGAACTTACTAAAATACTAATGTAATAAATAAAATATTGACTGTATTTAAGAGTTATGTTATTTCAATAACTACAACGGTAACTTATTTAAAAAATTAGATAAATTTATTGGTACAGTGAAAATTATAAACCAAAATAACTAATACGAAATAATTAGAGGCTACTATATTTTTTTATTATACAAATATTTAATTAATTTGTGATAATATCATATGAATTGCTCCAATAATTACAACTTATGTTACATTTTCACGTGTGAAGTCCGTATAATGTGTGCTTTCCCATTGCTCATGTTGAGTCAATGATCGTCGTGGCACGTTAAAAATGTTTAACGGCTGCCGTTTTGTTGAATTGCCTTTTGCGCTTTGGACGGAAACAATCTCCAGTTCTCCACTTTTGTCACGTTTTTTGTTTTCCACCTTTTCATTTTTTATTCCACTTCTCCATCAATTAGGTTACTCTTTTATCTTCTCTTATTATTACTCTTGTTATTGATGATGGTTTTATGACTCATGTAGTTAATGATTGATCAATATAATTGATCGGAAACAAAGTACAAAGCTCAAAGAAATTCGGAAAAAATAAGGTACTATTGTTGCTTAGAGTGAAAAAAATTGTGAACACATACAAACCCTTTTCAGCTTATTTATATAGTTCGAACTACCAGCTAAGGTACTTGAGCTAAATATGGAATGTAAATCCCTTCAACCAATGACATTAATTACAAATTGATCTTTTAAAATTTAAGGAAAGTCATATCCAAATATTTTTATTTTTTATTTTTAAAAAAACGATCTCTAAAACTTTCCACACATGAGAAGATGTGTCCCCCAAAACAAATTTTACAGTGGATTGTGGTCCATATAGCAACGGGTAGGCATGACCGCGGATCCGGTTCCGGTTAGAACCGGAATTTCTTCAATTTTTTTTATATTATGCTACTCCGTATTTGTTACTCGCCAGCAAAGCCTGGCGCAAAGGCCAAGGCTTGCGCCAGGCCAACTGGCGAAAGTGGCCAGTAGGCCAGTGGCCTACTGGCTTTTGGCAAGTTTTATTATTATTATTATTATTATTTTTTACGGTTTGGAACCGGAACCATCCGGTTCCGAACCGGAATCGGCGGTTCCGGTTCCAAGATTATACAAATCTAGGTTCCGGTTAAGAACCGGAACCGGAACCGTACGAACGGTTTTGGTTCGGTTCCGGTTTGCACAGTCACGATTCTAGTTCGAACTTACTGTTCGAACCGGAACCGTGGTCACCTCTAGCAACGGGCATTGTGGGTCGAGCGAAAAAATGACTGTCTTTTGAAATTTTTACCGTTAACAATGGTAGATGGCAAATTCTCTTATAGTCCATGTTGCAACCTCTATCATTATTCAGTTTTATTTTATACAAACTGTAGTTTCATTACAACACCAATACAATATCATTCTAATTCAACTATAATTTCATTTGACAATATAATATACACTTAATATGTGAGACCTACTATTTAGTTGTATTTTATACACAATGTAGTTTCATAACAGCATCATTAAAGTATCATTATTATTCAACTACAGTTTCTTTTGACAATATACACTCAATATTTGAGACTTGCTATTAAATTTTATTTTATACATACTGTAGTTTCATTACACCACCACCAAAGTATCATTCTAATTAAACTGCAATTTCATTTAACAATATACATTAAATATGTGAGACGACTTGTTATTCAGTTTCATTTATGCACAATGTAGTTTCATTACGGCACCACTGAAGTATCATTCTTATTTAACTACAGTTTCATTTGACAATCGACACTCAATATATGAGACCTACTATTCAGTTTCATTTTATACACACTGTAGATTCATTATAGAACCACTAAAGTATCATTCTAATTCAACTACAGTTTCATTTGATAATATACACTCAATATGTGAGATCTGTTATTCAGTTTCATTTTATATACATTGTAGTTTCATTAAAACATCATCAACAACAAAAAAAAAAAAAAAAAAAAATGAGTGCGCCGCATAACGTAACAGACATAACGATTGCACTTTTTTCATTAAAAGAAACGACATTGTTTTAGCCATGGTCCACTATATAATGATTGGTCCCCCAAGTTTCAGATTACATTGGACATGTACCGACTATTTGGCCCAAGTCCAACCATATGGGTTGAGGTGAAGAAAGAAAATGTTGTAGACTTTCTCCATGTCCACATCATCTATCGATTTGGTATCCAGCGATATATCTTAACAGATAACGGGAAACCCTTTGACAACAATTTGATGGACAAGATTTGCAAGCTTTTTGACTTTAAGCAGCGAAACTCATCAGCTTACTATGCAGCTGCAAATGGTCTTGCCGAAGTATTTAATAAGACCCTATGCAATTTGTTGAAGAAAGTGATCTCAAAATCGAAAAGAGACTGGCATGACAGAATGGAAGAAGCATTGTGGGCGTATAGAACCACTCACCGCACACCCACTCAAAACAGTCCATACTCTTTGGTGTATGGTGTAGAAGCGGTCTTGCCTCTAGAGCGCCAAATACCTTCTTTAAGGTTGGTTGTACAAGAGGGGCTTACTGATGAAGAAAATGCTAAGTTACGCTTGGCTGAGTTAGAAGTCTTGGATGAAAACGTCTACAAGCGCAACAAAGCTTGGAGTGCTATCAAGCTCGCATGTCTAGAGCTTTTAACAAAAGGGTACGGACCCGTTCCTTTCAAATTGGGGACAAAGTCCTAGCCGTTCGTAGGCACATCATTGTCACGAGAAAAACCGGCCACAAGTTCACTTCAAAGTGGGATGGTACCTACGTAGTTCTGGAAGTTTACACCAGTGGGGCGCATAAGCTGATTAGTGAAGATGGCGTGAAGATCGGTCCAATTAATGGAAGGTTCCTAAAGCTTTACTACCCTTAAACTTAGGGTGTCAACACAAGTCATGAAAATATGATGAATGACTCATCCACAAAAAATGCAGCACGTGGTTAAACTGCTAATGCATCTCGCTTTGTCTATGGTGTGCCCAAATCATAGACGCTCTTGGCCCGCATGAGTTGAAACTGTGAACGACTCTACTTAAAAAAAAAAAAACATTTGAACTACATTTGACTTGATCTCCTTCAAGGAGTACGTAGGCAGCTTAGAAATCAAATTATCTAAGTTCAGTCATAACAAAAACAAACCCAATTGTTGCTAAAAAAAAATGAGATGCATTCAATTATCGAGAGTCGAAAAGGAACAACAAGAAGTTTTGTAACAAATAAAGAAAAGCTATAGGAAAAAGAGCATCAGTCAACAAAAAGCCTAAAGCTAAGCATATCGTCTTTGCAGGCTTCTAAGCCTCTCTTTGCCTCCTGTAGTATCATTTCATCCTCTGGGTGTCAGTACAATCAGTTCCTTAATGCGAGTGACCTCTGCCTCAGCCTCTGAAACGACAGTCTTAGCCTTGCCCAGGTCGTCTGTAATATTGGCAATTACAGTGTCGCAGCCCTCCACTTTGGCACGAACTAACTTCAACTCTTTCTCCAATTCCTCCTCCCTATCTTTTGCAGTCTTAAGCATCTTATGTTGGTCCAATAGATCTTTCTTAAGTCTCTCAAGTTCTTCTTGAGAATTCTTGAGTTCATTCTTCGCCGAAGATAAAGACTAGGACTCGCTCGATGTTTGTCGGAAATTGCGGACCTTAAGTTGTCAAAGGCTTGAGCCTTTGTGAAAATCTCTTCAACCCGTGTTTCCAATGGAGAGATGTCTATATCCAACCTCCGCAAATTTGCAAAGGCATTCATAAAGCTCTCATGCAAGGATGAAAGGTGCTTTATCGGAGTTTCGTCCAACTTTCCACGAAGCTTGTTCCAGACATTTATGACAACCACCCTAAATTCTTCCAACACGAGGTCTTTCCCATCAAAGACAGAGGCCTCTGGTCTATCTTGCTGATCCACATGTGGCTCGTCGAATGAATTCCTTGACTGGTGCGAGTTCAATGTTGGGGCATTGTTTGAATGTTCACTTTTTCTAGTATTGCTTGCAGTCACCCTCTTATTCGATGACTCAGCCTCTCCACTGGCAAGTATCGCTACATTGTCCTATCAAGAAGTAAAAAGAGGATAAATTTGAGGCTACCAGCGATAATTGGGATAAGCGAGGGGTATAATGATCCACCCCTACTCGAGAAGGTGAACGTATATCTCGTCTCCGTTTCTAGTGACGGTCGCGACTTTCTTCATCACCCGAGTCCGGTCGTACCACATCAGTTTTTTTTTTTCGAAATGGTGTGCTCCTTTCTCTTCTCATCCGCGGTTCCAAACCAGCAAAATATCACCGCAGCAGATTAACAGCAATCAGCTCAAAAACTCAGCACTGCAACTCAATAATCATCCAACCAAGTCACATACCAATCAAAATTCAATCCCGCAAATACAAACAGACAGCACACACATACAGAAACGCATAAACATACACTCTTGCTACCAGCCGCAAACACTCAAATCAAAAAAGCCGAAGGGAAACAGAATGTTCTTCCTCTTGAAGATTAGCCATGGAGCAGAGTAGCAAACGCCAGATGGAGAAGACTAAGGCCGGCCGCCGGTGGAGCTGAGTGGAGACTAGATAATCGGCGGTGGAGAGATAGAGAGACGACTGAGTCGCAGAGCTGAAGGGCGAAGGATTATATATTAACTAGACCCAAAGTAGCTCTCCTCGTCCCTCAAATTCTCGATGCGGCAAAAAAACACACGCTCCCCCACCACAGCCGCAATCCCTTCAAGAATTGGAGATTTCTCCCCATCTCCTCCTCCCTTCACCTCCTCACAAACTGAAAAAACACAGAAATTCCGGCAATCTACAGCGACGGCGGCGGCCCATCAACCTGTTTCGCAACTGGAAACGACGAAATCAAGTGGAACGATTCATGTCATGAAACCGCCGCAATCCCTTCAAGAACTGAAGATTTATCCCCATCTTCTCCTCCCTTCATGTGACAACCCAAAAATAATTTTTCAAAATTCTATTTTATAAAATTCCGAAATAGCTATTTTCACTCTACCAAAAATTTTATTTCGAAAATGGTGTTTGAATTAAATATTTTAAACCGAGTTTTTAAATAAATTCAACACCAAAATTTATCCTATTTCAAAAATCTTAAGTTTCGGGTACATTTATGTACCTAATTTTGACCCAAAAAGTCAATCTGAGAGAAACCTAAGAGGAACCCGTGAAACCTGAGCCAAGTGTTTTAACTAGAAACTATTTTCAGAAAATCTATTTTTGACCCCAAGGTATCCAAAATTATTTTTAAAGACTTTGGCCCATGATGCAAGGTGAACCAAGATACATCTTCAAGCTTTTGTCTGATCTTTTAGAACACACAAGCAATTTACCCCTTTGCCCTCAACCAATCATTGGGCATCAACCTAGGGTTTTGCACCCATTTAAATAGAATAGTAACCTTATGATATTTCCTGATATCTTTCTTTGCCTCTCCACTCCTTGAGTTCTCCGTTGGGTGAAGAAGAAAACACTGAAGGAGGTAGTAGTTGAGTAGAGGGGGAGAAGGGATCCACACAAGAAGAAGAAGAAGCTATGGTATAAACCATGGACTCCCAAACTAGATTTTGACTCTGTTGAATGCTAGAATTGAGATTTAGATGCTTAGAAATGCTAAATAATGTTTTTTGTTGAGCTATTTGTGTGTTGTTGATGATCTATGATTAATTTATTGAGGATTGGAGGTGTTGGATTGCATCTAAGATGTCTACAGGAGAAGAAGAAAGGGTCTGGTGCACACAGATGGTGCACCAGTAAGCCCAGTGGGGCTAGCCAACGGACCATGGCAACGTCCGCTGGCTAGACCCGTGAGGCCTCGGACCATGGCAACGGATCATGGCTAGATCCGTTGCCAAGGGCCGCTACTTGGCGGAGCCAAGTGGCGGGGCTTCCCAAGCCCCGTCACTAAGCTCCGCCAGGCCAAAAGAGGTTCTGGTCGGGCCCTCTTTGGCTCAGCCACGCGTCGTTCGGACCGGGACTCGTGGGCCATTGAGGCTCGGACACCCGGGCTCGTTAAGACGCACTAGTAGAAGTTAGTTTCGTTGGATTTGGAGTTAGAAAGCATAATTTACAGTTAGAAATGTGGGAATAGAATTTTCTGTTGTTGTTGTTTGTGAACTTATTTAGCATATGAGATTATAGCTTTTGAGTATGTTTTGAGTTGAGAAGCATGCCTAAATACTTGATAGTATTTATTGAGAAGATTTATTAAGTGTTGAGATTTTTAGCATGAAGCAGAGCATGATTTCCTTGTTTCACAGTGAATGAGGTTTGAGCATATATTTCACAGTAAAGAGCATGTTAGTAGATTTCATTGCTTAAAGTGCATTTTTGGCTCTAAGTAAAGCCTAAGATCTATTTCAAAAACCTATATCTATTTTGGAAAATCACTATCTATTTGCATTGAGAAGATTGCATGATACTTGATTTCCAAAATGTGAGAAAGAGAAGTTGTTGAGAATTATGTGCATAAGATTGCATAAGTTAGAGTTGTTGCATGAGAAAGAAGTTGCATGAGATATGTCTATATGTTATCTATTGTGAGAAAATAGTATTTTGGAGGACCGTTAGGACTATGTCCTTTCGGAAGAAAAGAGAAAGTTTCAGAAAAGAAAGAAACGGTCAAAGAAGACCGACAGAGATTTATGAAGTAACTTGGTCGATATTCCCGGGTTACTAGGTTGGATACTACCAGCCGGCCTTGGAATCCTGGTTAGGGGTGTGCACACTGACAAGTACGATACCTGATTTCACAGAGTTTGAGATAAGAACCAAGAGAGTGGTTCTGTGAGCGAGATGAATATTAGGCCGGCTAGATGCCGAGCCCGGATAGGATCGTTCACGATTCGTGAAGTTCCTACCTTGCCCACGAGTACAGAAAGAAAGCAAGAAAGTAAAGAAGAGAAAACGCGAGTCAAGAGACTCAAGAAAGTAAAGAAGAGAAAAGCGAGTCAATGTGACTCAACATAAACCTCCACAGGAAAAGTATTTCTTTTTGCATAAGAACGAGAGTGTGTGTATATATATATATATATATATATATATATATATATATATATATATATATATATATATATATATATATATATGTATGTATGTATGTATGTATGTATGTATGTATGTATGTATGTATGTATGTATGTATAAAACATCATGACATTTCTTGTTACATGACTTGCATGAGTTGCATTTAGAGTTTGATGAGAAGTATAGTTTTTGTCGATGCTTTTGAGTTGGCATGATAGCATGAGCTTGTTTGTTGAGTTCTAAGTATCACTTTAACTATCAGTTTGAGCATGAGTTCCACATGATGAGCTATGATTAGAAATATCTGTTAAAGCATGAGATTATGTTTAAGTTAAGTACTTGAGAAAACATGTTTATATGAAGAATAAGTTGCAAGCATATAGAGTTGTTTATGAGCATGTTATGAGATTGTTGATAAGTGTTGCAAAGTACTTGAGATTACGTGTGATTGCCAAATGATTTTCAAATATATATCTATAGTACTTTACATGATTGAGTGACTTTATACTTAGCATTCGTGCTAACGGGTTTATTTTCTACTTGTTTTTATAACCCCTTTCAGGTGGGCCTAGTGTTTTAGAGCGCACGAGTTAGTATAGTGCGTAGTTATGAGATGGTAGATTCTAGCTTAGGTTCTACTTTAGACTTTTGATGTTTAGATGTTTGACTGGTCTTTTGTTGGTGTTTGAACACCGGGGTTTGTTCCCCAAGTATTTATATTGTAGTATGATGAGCTTGACTCTAGATAGATATCCTTTGTAGCCTGTGCAGTCATCGCGAGTGGTGACTATGGCGGTGACACCCGTTTGTTGGTTTTGGTTGGATTTAAGTATTTAATCTTACTT